CCCATCCAACCGGTGCTTCTTCTCTCCCCCAGCCTACCTTATTGAAGAGGAAGCTAGAGGAACATCTGTGAGTCCCAGAGGGATGGTGGTGGGGGAGACTGGGGCAAAGGTATGATAGATGGGGAGGTGTCCAGGGAGATTCATTTGTGAGGAGAGCAAGTCAGCAGAAATACAGACTGAAGGTTCAGATTTAGTAGGATCTTAAAGACCAAGGGAAGCAGTAAAGATTGTTTTGGGGGAGCAGTGGGGGAGCCACAGAGGGAATTTCATCAAGGTATTCTTGCTTTGCTGAAAGTGATAGTCGTATTTTACTTTTTACATTGCTAAAAAAGAAACTTTTACTTATTTATTATTATTGTTATTATTATTTTTAACCCTCACATGAGGATATTTTTTGCATTTCTGAGAGAGTGGAAGGGCGAGAGAGAGAGAAACATTGATGTGAGAGATACACATCGATTGATTGCCTTCTGCACACACCTGAACCAGGGCCTGGAACTGAACCTGCAACCCAGGCATGGGCCCTTGGTTAGGAATCAAACCCACTACTCTTTCATTTGCAGGCCGATGCTCTAACTGCTGAGCCAAATCGGCCAGGGCTCACATTGATGTTTCTCTCTCTCTCTCTTTCTCTCTCTCCCTCCCTCTCACTCTCTCTAAAAATTAATGGAAAAATATCCTCGGGTGAGGATTAACATAGATGATTGATAGATAGATAGATAGATAGATAGATTAACATAGATGATTGATAGATAGATAGATTAACATAGATGATTGATAGATAGATAGATAGATAGATTAACATAGATGATAGATAGATAGATAGATAGATAGATAGATAGATAGAATAGAAAGAAAGAAAAATATAGCAGCCTGATTCTGCCTGAAAGGTTGCAGGTTCTATTCCTGGTTGGTCGGAGCATGTATGGGAGGCAACTAATTGATGTTTCTCTCTTGTATCAATGTTTCTGTCTTCAGGTGAGGATAAAAAATATATATATAGTGGCCTGTGTCAACTGGGGTTCCATGGAGAATCTAGGCCTTACTGAAAATGATTTGGGTGGTTGTTTTCTCAGTTCTGGCCAAGGATGGAATGTAGAGGAGGCTGACAGAAAAAGTTATTTTCTTACAGAGGCTGGATACCTGGGGGCATTAGGTTTAATTCTCCTATTAGAATTCTAGTCCAGAAGGGCTGGCCTGTAGTATTTTTTTGTGAATATCATAATGTATTTAACTCATTCTTTCTAGGTATTTGCAATTTCAAACAAAGCAAAGAAGTGTAAAACTTTGCACATGCATTGTTTCACTTGTGTGCAAATATATCACAAAAGTGGAATTGGTGGCTCAGGGGACACATGCCTTTGTAATTTTAGTAGATGTAGCTATTAGATGTTATACTATGTTTCACTTTCAGTGCACAATAATAGTGTCACCTACAGGGAGTGTTATAAAATCTTTTGTGTTTTACCACTGGTGGCAAAGGGCACTAAACCTAGTTACAACTTGTAGTTTGCATTTCCTTTTGTTGTAAGAGATTTGCATTCTAGAAAGATCACTGGCTGCTGGGTAGAGAATGGAACTGAGGGGTTGAGAGTAGAAGAGACTGGCAAAGGGTAGTGGTGGCTGGATCAGCACATGAGCTGTGAAATAGAAGTGGACAGATAGGGGCTGGTCCAGGGGTCACCTGACTAGGGGTCTGGAGGGTTGTGGCTCTGGTGGCAGAGGAGGCGGTGGGGCCAGAGCACACAGCCCCTGTGCTTGGGAGGCAGGCAGAGAGATTGTAGCCATGCAGGGGCACTTCTAGCCAGCTGGGAATGCCTTGGTTATCACCACTGCTTTTTGTCCCCTGCCTGCAGGCAGAAGCTGCATGAAGCGGATCTGGAGCTGCAGCGGAAGCGCGAGTACATTGAGGAGCTGGAGCCACCCACCGACAGCAGCAGTGAGCGGTGTTTGGCAGCCAGATTGGTGGGAGGAGTCCTGAGCTTGGTGTGGAGCTGAGGGGCCACCTTGTTCCCCCAGCAGACCAGCGTATCGAGGAGCTTCAGGACAGCCTACAGAAGAAGGATGCAGACTTGCGGGCCATGGAGGAGCGGTACCGCCGCTATGTGGACAAAGCACGCACGGTGAGGATGCTGAGTGACCTCTTGCCCAGGCTGCTGCCTCCCATTGGGTCATGCTTCCCACCAGTTTGCACATCTCTGCCTGCCCATCCCCACACCTGTCATACCTCATCATGTCACAGACTTCTACACCACAGCCATGAGTTGTCACATTACATACCCCAATGAATCGAACAGCCTGCGAGGCCAAGGTCACCCATGCTGTGTCTTCCCCAACTCCTAGGTCATACAGACCCTGGAACCAAAGCAGCGGCCACCTGGGGGGGCGCTTCCAGAACTCCATACCTTGAGGACACAGCTCCGGGAGCGGGAAGTCCGAATCCGGCACCTGGAGGTGAGTGCCCTTATCCCTTCTCACTGCCCTCAGTATATCCAGGCCCTTGACTATTGCATCCTTGGCAGATGGACTTTGAGAAGAATCGAAGTCAGCGGGAGCAGGAAGAAAAGCTGCTCATCAGTGCCTGGTATAATATGGTGAGTGTACCAGTACCAAGGCTGCAGTGTTGGGGGCATTCCTTGGGCTCACCTAATGCCAAGCACACCCCTCCCTCCAGGGCATGGCCTTGCAGCAGCGAGCAGGGGAAGAGCGGGCACCTACCCATGCTCAGTCATTCCTGGCACAGCAGCGGCTGGCCACCAACACTCGCCGTGGGTCCCTGGGACGCTTGAACATACGCCCCAAAGACAAGCACTGATGGACCTCAGGATCCTGCCACCTGCCCAGCCTGTCAGTGCTTAATTCATCCTAGATTCCTCCAACTCCCCTGGTGCCCAGCATCATGCCTGGGTTAGCTGAGAGCCTTGAGGTCTTGACGTGTCTTTTGCTCTCCTGGATGAGACAAGAGTGCAGAACAGGGTGGGAGGCAGGTATGGGTCTGTCCTTTTTAGCAATGTGATTTTTATTCTTAATATTCTCCCTGAAATTAATGAGCTTCCAGGGTAGAGAGAGTGATTTTATATTTGAGAAGAAAATAATAAAGACTTTCAATCTGCCCTGGCTGGACTCTGGGCAGTGAGGTGAGGGAGAGAAGATGGGCCCGGGACTCAGACCACTGCTTTTAAGAAAGGCCTGGCTTGTGGTCTTACTAAAGTATGAGTGACTGATAGTGCCCAGTGAGAGTCATATTTGCATTTGGGTAACTGTGCATGTGTGGTAGGTTTTAAGGAAGCTTCAGACAAAAATCCCTGCCTTATGGAGCTGTTATTTTCTTTCTTTTTAATTGATTTTTAGAGAGAGAGGAAGGGAGAGGGAGAGAAAGATAGAAACAGGGAGAGAGAGATAAAAACATCAATGAGAGAGGACATCGACTGGCTGCCTCCTGCATGCCCCCCACTGGGAACTGGGCCTACAACTTGGGCATGTGCCCTGACCCGGAATCGAACTGGCGACCTCTTGGTGCATGGGTCAGTGCTCAACCACTGAGCTACACTAGCCAGGTGAAGCTGTTATTTTCAATGAAGGGAGACAGACAATAAAGGAAAAAGATAACAGTTTTATGTAAGGAGATCAATGGAGATAAAGCAGACAAAAGTGATGGAGATGTAGGAGGTGGATTTTGGAAGTGGCAATTTAAAAAAATTTTTTCTAAGAATTTATTTGAACCAGATTCACATGATGGGGAGCAGGATCTCAAATGCTCTGGGAGGTGGCAATTTTTTGTAAAAGGTCAGCAAAGAGGCCTAGCCAAGGAAATGACATAACTTAAGCACAGAACTGAAGGAGATGAGGGAGGGGCCACCTGGGTATCTGGGAAAGAGCAATCCAGCCAGAGGGAACAGCATGTGCAAAGGCCCTGAGATGAGACCTTGCTTGGTGGGTTAGAGGGACAGTGTGGAGTGAATGAAGGGAAGGGAGGAGATGAAGGCAGGGAGATTGTTCAGGGCCTTGTGAGCTGTGGGAAAGCCTTTAGCTTTTATTCTAATTAAGGTGGAAGTCATGGAGGGTTCTAAGCAAAGGAGGGATATTACCTGATTCAAGTGTTCATAGGCTCCCTTTGGCTGCTGTGGAAGGAACTGATTGTGGGGGGTTAGGGCTACAGTTGGGAGACTAGGGCAGAGGTCACTAGTCTAGCTGGGTGGGTACATGACAATGGGGGACCTAGCCATGGTAGGGGCCCTTGAGGAAGGAGAAATGGCTGGAATCTGGATAAATTTGAAGATCAAGCTGATGGGATTTGCTGCTGGGTTGATGTGGAGAGACGTGAGAGAAAGGAGTTGAAGATGACTACAGGTTTTGGCCCCATCATCTGGAAGGATAAAGCCAACAGAGAGAGGTTGGGAGCTAATAGGGAGCTGGTTCAGGGACGTGTTCTGTCCAAGATGCCTGGGAGATCCCTGCATAGAGACTCTGAGAAAACAGTTGGATCTATGGATCTAGAGACAGAGGAAGGATCCTGGCTGGACTTCTAAATACGGAAGTAATTGGCATATGACCAAATTAAGACCAGGAGCATTAAAAGGATATCTGAGAATTCAGGGACTTGGGGTGGAGAGGTTGCTTGCAGAATCTAAATCAAGGCTGGCAGGAAGAAGCTGTGGTCTTGGGACTGTGGCTGGTACATTAATGAATGAGTCAAGTTGTGTGCATTGATTTCAGAGAGCAAAGTTTGGGCCCTGGCCGATTTGGCTCAGCGGTTAGAGCATCGGCCTGCGGTCCAGAGAGATCTGGGTTCGGTTCCTGCTAAGGGCACGTACGTGGGTTGCACTTTGTCCCCGGCCCTGGTCGGTTGTGCGGGTGGCAGCCACTCGATGTGTCCCTTTCACATCGATGTTTCTTTCTCTCTCTCTCTCTCTCTCTCTCTCTCTCTGTTCCTCTCTCTCCCTCCCACTCTACCTAAACAAAAAATGGAAAAATGTCCTCGGGTGAGGATTAAAAAAAAACAAAAAAAAAAAAACAGAGAGCAAAGTTTGGGAAGAAGTGGGCAGGGCATCAGGAGATAACCTGACTTAGCATAATGCCTGGCAGGAAAATTCAGGCTAACAACATTTGAGTAGAAACTACTAACATTTATTAAGTACCTATTATGTACCAAACACTTTAAAGCTGTTATTTCATTGCCATCCTCACAACTCAGAGGTAGGTACTCATATCTCCATTTTAAGGAAACAATACAAGTTAGACACACTCTCAGGCCAGGGGGAGTGGGAAGTAGAGCTGGTGGGAGGGAAGAGCTGCTCAAAACAGCTGGAAGAATTCCTGGCCCTTAGCCCAGTGCCTGGCCTACAGGAGACACAGGCCAGACATGAAGGCAGGAGCACAGGTAGAGGAAACTTGTCTAAAGCCAGCAGATGAAATCTACGTGGGGCTTATGCAGACCTGGACCGCTGCCTGGATGCAGTGTGGGTCTTGGTTCTTGAACCCCCACGAGGGTCTCAAGTGAGACACTCTTCCTCCTCACCAATGGGGCTGGGCAGCCAGGGTGGAGCCGGCCCCCGGAGTGCTGGCATGGCCACAGTGGTGAAGGGTTCAGTGTCCAGCCCAGGGGTTGGTGGCTCTAGCCCAGTGTGAGGATTGAGTTCTGGCTCGTGAAGGCTGGAGTCCAACAGTAGGTCCCCGCAGCCGCACTCAGGGGCCACGCTATCGAGGGCGCTGGTGCTCACGCAGCTGGCTGCTGTGGACGCCTCGGACACGCAGCTGTTCTTGCGGCGCAACAAGGACAGACGCCGGCCCAGCAGGCTTCCTGCAGCCATACCCGGACCCACAGGCAGGAGGCGCTGCAAGAAGTCTCCATGCGCCTCGCCCAGAGGCACGTCCATGCCTTCGGGCCGCTGGAACTGCATGTCCTCCTTGGCCAGCCTGTGAGACAGACAGTGGGTCAGTACTGCGACCTCATCCCTCTCCTTGGTTGACAGATCTGGGACCAAGGTCCACCGCTTTCCTGGCTTCACTCACCCATTTGTCTCACTTATCCCAAAAGACCTTGGCCCCTCATGAGAGAGCCACGCCTTATCCTCTAGCTCTGCTCAAACTTAAACCTCAAAGCCTTAATTTTATTGCCTCTGGCCACTCTTCTAGTCCTTATACATCTTAGCCCTTAGCCCTGACCCCAATTCGTGGCCTGGTCCCAGACCTTGATCCTAATCCTTATCCTCATAGAACTTAGCTCTTAGCCCCAAATCTCCAGAGTTTAGCCTTTAGCCCTGTTGTGGTATCCTATAGCCCCCTCAATCAGACTCCACCCCCCCCCCCCCGCAGAGCCAGAAGCCCCGCCCACCCCACTGGCTCACGTGATGTCGAAGGTGGAGCCCTGGAAGGAGGGCTGCTGCTTCAAGAAGGCTGTGGCCGCGGTGTAGGGGGCCCGAGCCTCAGCTGTGTCCCAGTACAGGTCCTTCTCCAGCATAGCCAGGTCGTCGTACATCTCGTCCACCGCTAGCATTGACACCTGCAACCGTGGACACTGTGCTAGGTGGGGGGTAGCAAAGCGCAAGCACTGCAGGGTGGACCCCTCAGGATGGGTAGCAGTGTGATACCAAAAAGAGAAGTATGCTTCAGAGGCGAGGCCTGGGTAAGTCTGGGCAGGGTTGGGGTCAGGGCCACTTTGGGAGCCTGAGGATGGTTGCAACAGAGTCTCACCTGGAAGTTGCGGTCGATCAGAAAGTTGGTTTCAAAATCATCGTCGTCCTCTCCAAAGGGGTTGATGAGCTGCTCTGCTACCTTAGTGGGGAGGAGAAGGTTAGCAGAGACCTGAGAACCCCTGCCCGCCTCACTCCCGAAGTCCATGCCTTGGGGCCCACCTACCTTGAGCCAACCAGCATAGAAGAAGAACTGCAGCAGAGTGAAGACTGGTACAAACAGGTCAAGATTGTGGTCTTTGTAGCCCTGCGCAGGATCTAGGAACTGGCGACCGATGAGGCAGGCCAGGAAGTAACTGTACACTGCGATGGTCACCACCTGGGGGCAGGTAGCTGCCAGGTCAGGGCTCTCCAGGCCTCAGGGATTCCTGGAGAGACCAGGGCTAGGATTGGGAATCAGTGATAGGGTCTTAGCTGGCCCTCAGTTTCCCCTTGAGACCAATGTATCTGACAGTGGATCTAAGCGGAGGCACCATGGGCTTACCTGGGTGTAGACGAGGGGTACACTGATCCAGTCGTAGTGAAAGAGCATCGAACACTTGCCCCGAAACACAGTCAGCTCCTGGGGGCGGATGCAACTTATGAGGGAGCCTGACTTATGAGCTCACATATGGAGATTAAGTGTGGGTACTTGGGATGGAGGTGAGTAGTCACCTGGTGGAAAGTGGTGGCATGTGCTTCTAGGGGCTCCCAGGGAGAGTATTTAGTAGTGAGTGTACACCTGGGGTGGGAGGCTCCATAGAGACAGATGTGCACCTGGGGGCTGCTAGGTAAGGGTGTTTGGAATTAGCCTCGTTGGAAGTGTGTGGCAGGCTGTAGTCCGACACAATTCAGGGGGAGGGCGTATAATTTCTCTGGTACTTTGTATGAATGACCAACTGGCGAGCCTACCTCGAGCAGCAATTTAAGGGCGCTGTTGTCGCGGATGCGGCCCTCTCGCCGGGCCTGTGCCGCTAGGTTAGAGAACCAGACGCAGGGCACCCAATACTTGTTGTAGGATGAATTCAGGTTCTCGAACTTCTTGCGCTCCTCGCGGGTCATAAACCCTGGAGAGGTGAATTCGGGGTGTCACTTGCCCCGCCTTCCTGTCCCTTACTGGGGTCACTTGCCCCGCCCTCCGTCTTGGTTCTGCTCCCGCTTCCAGCCAGGGCCTCACCAGCCTCCACCACGTGGTCTATGGTGGGGAAGCGCTTGAAGACCGCGGTGCTGACAGAGCGCAGGATGAGCACAGCCGAGAGCCCTGCGTAGCGCATGAGCGTGCGCCGGTAGAGGCGGCCACGCTCGTCGCGTCCGTGCACGGTGCCCGACACTATGCACATTAGCGCATCGGGCAGCGGCATGCAGAGGTACTGGTTCCACCAGCGGTGCACCACCAGGTTCACGTAGAAGCCTGCGGCAGAGCCGGGAATGGGTAGATCAGTGGGGGACACTAGGGCCCAGGTCGTGGGAAGAGGAGTAATATAGTTTGCATCAGTGACACCGGGCAGGCTGGTTACCCTGACCACGTGGGTCTACCTGGGATGGGAACTTGGGTGTCTAGCCCTGAGGTCAGAGTGGCTGGAGCAGTATGGGTCACTCTGGCTACTTGGGAGTCACCTGGGATGGGGGATTGGGATCCCAGTATGGAGGCAGAGACACGGGGCTCATGGGCAGTTTTTCACTGAGGCCAGGGAAGCCCCTGAACCAGAAACATCTGAATGGGTTGGGCACAGGATCTATGTAAAGATTCCTGGCATAGGCTGGTAACCTCATCCATGAGGGCAGAGAACAATGAGAAGGAGGCTGGCGGCCAGGATTTGTCAAATAAATACTTCCAAGGCTGGACTTGAGAGGATGAATTCATATGCGGTCCCTGGGGCCCAGGACATGGGGAGGTGGGCACTAGTAATCTTATGCAGACACAGGTGAGAGTCCCTGAGGTGACCAGGGATAAGTATATGAGTGACATGGAATACTCAAAGGGGCACTGTGACCAGGTGATATCCAAGGGACCACACTTGGCATAAAGGACACAGAAATGGGGGTCTGTGGGGTTGGCTTTGAGAGGGTCTCAGAGGGGCAGGAATGGGGGTCTCCAAAAGCCATGAATGGAAATGGGTTTCTCAGGATGGGGGATGAGAGATGGGGAACTTGAGAAACCGAACACACCAAGCACGAAAGAGACTGGGATGAGACTGGCGTACTGGTCGCAGTAGATGACAAGCTTCTCGAAGTAACGCTTCTGCCCTTCGGTCAGCACGAAGCTGCAGGGAGGGGTGCGAGGTCACCAGCTAGCTCCCTCCCCAGCTGCCGATCTCTCTTCCCACGTCCTGTCCAGGGCACACCGGGGCCCCTTCCCAGTCCATTCTGGCCAGCACGCCCACCCCAGGCCGCCTCACCGATAGGCGGCACTCAGCATCATGTAGAGCCCGAGAAAACAGAGCAGCTCCCGCCACAGAAGTTTGTAGATGCTGCCGCGCCACAGCAGTAGCAGCTGCGAGAAGCCGCCGAAGCGCGCATTGGCCACGCGGGCTGTGTATGTGACGGTCATCCCGGCGCCAGGCTGTCAGGCTAGAGAAGGTGCGGCCGGACCTCACGCCCGCTTGTGGCCGAGGAACGAGGGACCTGAGGGAGGGGCTGGGGGCTGCTGGTGGAGATGAAGAGGTACAGGGTGACTCAGCTCAATGTTCCCTCTAGAGCCAGGCCACCTCTTTGGTCCAGTCTCCTCCCACTCTTCCTGAGTCCCATCTCTAGCTGCCAGTCCTCCCCAAGCCCATTCCGGCAAGCCACCCCTTCTAGACTCTTGTTTCCCACATCTTGCGCCTACCTACTCAGGCTCCCTCACCAGCCCCCACCTTGCAAACCCTTGAGTCAACCCTGTTGCCTTCTATCCATCCCATCCACCTTACCTGGGCTCTACAGCTTCCCCTACTCCTAGAGTCCCCAGTGCCTCCGTTTCTAGGTTCTCAGGGCTCTGACTGCCACTCCCCCGCTCCCCCCTCCCCCCACCATTCCTCTCTCTCAGATTCCACCTCTGCTCTCCCCTTACTTGCCTAGCTCTCAGTCTTTGCCAGTCCTCCACCCCTGCAATCCCTTTTAAAGCCCTAGGAAGGAAGCCCTGCTCTCAAACCTTCAGGCCTCCAGGCCCCCAGGTCCCCTCTTGCACTCCCTCTGCCTCAAGTTGGCCTCCTCTCCTGCACAGCTGCTCCAGCCTCTCCAGCCTCTCCACTTAATTATCCTTCCCTTTTTCCTGAGTCCACCTTGATCTTTCCTCTGTTCATTCTCTAGCCTTCCAAGCTCTCCACTCCATACTCTGAGGATACTGACGAATTTCTGCCTCAAACCTGCCCACAGGCCCACCTATCCTCAGGGTCTCCTATTCTCCTAGGCCTGGGCCCTTCTCACCTGATGGTGGGTGCAGGACACACAGGGACAGGGACAAGACGGCAGGTGGCTTCAGTGTTGGGTGTGGCTGAAGCCAGATCCTGGGGGTGGGAGGGGGCAGAAGAATGGGCGTGGATGGTTTCTCCCTGGCCCGCCCCCCTGGGCTGCAGCCTCAGAACTTTGGGTAAGTCTGGCCAGTTTGTTACCTGGAGCTGGGGAGAAATTCAACTAGGACTTCCTTGCTCCTCCCTGTCTCTCTCACTGGCAGTCACTGGCAAGTCCAAGGGACTAGAGGTGGGGGAGGGGGCAGGGACTGTGTCCTTCCCAGTCTCTGTTTCCCTCTCCTCCCCTCTCCTCCCCTCTCCTCCCCTCCCTTCCCCTCCCCTCCTCTCCTTTCACACACACACACACACACACACACACACTCTCTGCTGATGGGGACTCCACAGTCACCTGTAGTCATACACTATCACAAAGGTGTACTGTACTTAGAAATACACATCATAAACCCAGACACAAATTCAGCTTCACTTAACACACACCAGCTAAGGGCAGAGCCCAGAAAGCCTTCATACACACAGCCATACACCATCCCACAGAGGGTGGTAGCACTCATTTATTCCTATCTTCCCTGCACAAAGATATACCCACGGTCACCCAACAGATGTGGGAATACCTGCCCTCTACACAGCTGCACATGTTCCTGGGATCCCTTAGATCCATCAGTGTTGCAAGGACTCATACATCGGGGACCCCTCCTCAACAGTCCTGCAGACCCTGTGGGGCACATCCAGAAGAGGTCATGCCCATGACCCCTCATGAAACTCACCTGCATTTGCACATTGATAAGACACCCCTCCCTACTGCCCCCTTACTGTGGTGTAAGCCAGATCCTGGGGTGGGAGGAGGAGGCTGAAGAATGGGTGTGGATCCCCCCAACAGACACACCTCAGATCTCAGACTCTCTCTGCATTGCCATGAACACACAAGCTTGGGGACACAAAAACTTGTCCTCACATTTGGCATGGATGCAGGACAGATGTTCCCCCTTCAGTGAAAGGGGGCACACTCAGCCTGGCACAAACAGCCTCCCTGTCCTATTCCTCAAACACACAGCCTGGTGTCGGAGGGGTGGAGGCTCAGGGGTCCAGCCCCTGGGCACCTCATGTCCACCTTGTGCACTAGTAGTGTAGGATTTATGTGGCCCCACCCAGAAGTCCTGCCTGGCATATGTCTGCCCCACCTGAGGTAATTAAGAACTAGCCCAGGCTGGCTACCCTCAAACCTGCTCCTCTGCTGTCCAGCTGCTGGACAGCCCATAAAAGTGGATGTGGGCTGGCAGTGATAGCTTCGGGTCCTGGGGAGGAGACAGGCTTCAAGTTGATGCAGCTCCATTCCTGACCAGAGGCCCCCACTCCCTAGGATGTATTCTTATACACACTGCAGCAAGCCTCCTCTTCTCTCCCTATGCTCATCTCCCTCCTCCAGTTCACAGTGTCCCCAACACAGTTCTGACCGCTGGACCCCTGCTGGGTTAGGGGCAGGTTGCCCAAGTTAGTTCACATGCTTAATTGTAACAATGAATAATATTTGTCAAGACATTACTTATTTCACCTCATTGAATCCTTGTAAGCAGGCATATGAAGTTGGTATTTGTCATTCCCACTATCTGGTAGGGAAACAGGCTCAAATGACATAGCCCTTACACAGCACAGCTGGGATTTGAGCCCAGGCAGTTCAACTGGAGCCTGGGGTCTTTGCCATGGGCTACACCATTGTTTGTTTACAAGTGCCACTCCAACATGCCCACACCGCTTGTGCACAGCCAGTACAATCCAGTAGAGGACACGTCTGGGCTTGTGGCTGGGTTCCCCTTACAAGCACGCACACCCGAACACACCCAGACCTTGGGTATACACTGTTGGAACACCACTTCCTGACTCATGCATGTCCTCAGGCACCTCTTGTCCATATTCCCCACCCCCCACCAGCTCTATCTTGAAACTTGCAAGTGCAGGTCATTCCAGTCCTGGGTCTCCCAGGTGGGGGTGAATGTGGCCATCCAGGTAGTTGCAGAGGGAGTAGTGAAGGGGATAAGGAGGCCCGCTGTCCAGGCTGCTGTGCTGACCCTTCCAGGGTCAAGTGAATTTATCCCTTGGCTCTGTGAATGGCCACATCTGTCTCCATTTTAGGGGTGAAGCTCCAACTACAGGAAACATGAGGCCACTCACTGAGAGGGCTGTACAAATAGGACTTCAGGGATACCTCTGGCCCAAGTGCTCTACCATCCTGTGACCTAATCTGCCCCTGGTTGTAACCTGTAGCTGTGGTGGACAGAGCTGATTTCATCTCATGGGGGTGGAGGGGGCAGGAATTGGGGAATAGAGACTGTTAATCCTCAGTCTGGCCAGCCCTGCCTCTTCCCAGGGCGCCCACTAATTTCCAAACCAAACAGCAGGCAGTACTGGGTTGCTGCCTGCCTAATCCGCTCCTGACCTGCCTGAGGCTCTCCAATGGACCCCCTGGTTCCCACACTCTGAAAGGAAGGGGGTATTATGTCCCTTTCTTCTACTCCAGGCATTATGGCAGGGACACTCCTACCCATACAGAGCTTGAAAAAGCACCCCCTTACTGAAGACACTTACCTTCCAAAATTGCCTAATAAACACACAGCTTTGTTAGGTCTGTTGTGACTCTGCCCCTCTCAATGTGACATCTTTGTGCAGTGTACAACCTGAGCAACTGTACACAGAGGCACTGACTCCCAGACCCACAGTGGTTTATGATCATTTTATTGAGGAGCGAGAGGCAGGGAGAGTTGAGGAGCAGCTACAGCCTCCCCAGCCCCACCAGGGGGAACAGACCCCCTCCCTGCCTCCCACCTCCCAAGTGGCTCCCCCTGTACTATGGGGGGACTTTGTGCAAACTCTGCCCTGGTGGGGTGGGGGTGGGTGGAAATAGTAGCAGCTGAGACTGGCAGCGGTGCTACTGGGCGCTGGGAGGCTTGTAGGGCTCCAGGAGGAGGGCGGAGAAGGTGTTGACCTTGTCTGCCCCCCGCACCTCATGGGGCAGCAGAGGCAGCTTCACAATGTGGAAGTCTTCATACAGGTCCTCCATCTGTGGCCAGGACAGGGGGCAGAGGACAGTGGTCAGGGGGCTGGCTGCAGGGCAGGGAAAGAATGTGGGTAGATGGAAGGGGTTGGGCTGGGGGTCTCCCAGGGTCAGAGGCTTCACAGGGTCACAGGTGGGAGTGGTATCAGTGAGGTCAAAGATCTCTGGGCTGGACCTCAGGCTACCCAGGGTCAGAGGTATTCAGGCCAGACATATTCCTCCAGGGCCAGAATTAGGGGGAAGGGTCTGAAGTAGGGGTGAAGGGCAGGAAGCTGGGGCAGAAGTAAGAGGTGGGATGCAGCAGAGTCAGAGCATAGAGTAAGTGACTGGTAGTGCTGTGGTTAGGCTGGGCCAGCCCCCCACTGCCAGTTATCAGAGGTTTGAGAGGGCTGGGCATGCACACCTGGTCCAGGTACTTGGCCTGGATCTTATGGCGGGCCTCACACATCTTGCAGGGCTTCTCAGGGTCCGGGAAGACGAGCTGGTTGACAATGATGTTGTGTGTGTCAATCTTGCACTTGGCCAGCTCCTGGATCAGCCGCTCTGTCTCATATAGGGACAGGAACTCAGCAATGCACACACAGATGAAAGTTGTCTGCTCCTGTAGGGCGTGAAAGAGGACAGTGAGGGCCAGGTGCTGGCCCTGTCCCTGGCCCCAGAGCCTCTCACTGTCCATCTGCACCATGACTCACAGGGTCCTTGAACTGCTCGCTGACAGAGCGGATGACAGGCAGCGTCTCCTCCAGTTTTGAGGCTAACTGGTCTGCGTTCATATCCCCTAGGCCCAGCATGTTGCACATCTGTGGGGAGGACATGGGAGGGCTTGAGGCTTACCTGGAGTGGTTATAACTCCTGGGTTGGGGACTCGCTAAACACTTGTGATGGGTGACTCTTGACACCTTCCAGTAGTTAAAAGCATGGGCTCTTGAACAGACCACAGGGGTCAAAGCCCAGCTCTGCCTCTTTTGGGATACTATGGCCAGGTGGCTTGACCTGAAGGTTTAGTTTCCTTATGTGTAGAGCTTACCTCTAAGAGTGGGTATGCTAGATGAGCTGAAACATGTCACGTGCTCAGAACAGTGCCTGGTACAGAGTAAGTGCTCTACAAATTTGACTATCTGAGGCAGAGGT